CCATTATGACACTAAGGTACCTAAACATACTTTTAAATACTCACCTTCTCAAAGTCAAGTAACAAAAAAGTAATAGATGCTAGCTGAACCTAATGAGGAAGATTAGTTCTTTACCATGGAATGTTTAAAAAGATGACCAAATACATTTAAAATATGTACTTTTTTTTTTTAAATTTGAGACTAGCATTTTTATAGTCCATCATGGATATTTCTAACTTCATAACAGATTCCTAATGATAAAGATGATGACACGGTGTTCAACTGAAAGACAGTAAACTAAGCTACTCAAAAACCATTTTAGCTGAGCACAAATCATGATCTGTTAAAAGTGCACCTACCACATTTTTGGATTTTAACACTGATAAATCTTCTCATCAGTCCACAGACAGATGGAACCACACACACACAAAAAATCAGTTTATTTACAAAACTGCCACATACAAAATGATTCACAGTGCTTTCAGTAAGGCAGATATGTTTTGACTGCAGACTTTTATTTGAATGTGTTTTAGATAAATAAGGATCGTGCAACCCAGAAACCTAACGAACTCTCAAGAATTTAATAAAATTAATGCAAGGTAAACATAGAAGTCAGTCTTTAATTTTAAGCAGAGCTATGTCTTCAAGTAGAAGACACAAAATTCCTAAAACTATAACCTTTTTAGTAGATTTTTATGAACTTCAATACAAAATACGCACCTACTTTTTTTAGTTAAAAAAGCATATTTTAAGTTAAAGCAAGTGTCTGAACATCATCTGAAAATTGTCAAAAGTCATTAAAAGGCAGTAATATTCCATTGCCTCAACTGCTTTTTATCCTACAGAAGTTACACAAGCAGTGGCAGCGCTTCAGATGGCTTGCATACAGGATTCTAATTCAGTGTTGAAACTGAACAAGGCAGGCTCATGCTTTCTCTTTCACTCTCAAGGTGTGCTGCTAGTATGGAAATAGTAATCACAGTGCAGCAACTCTTAATAAAATCAAATTCAGAAGTTCCTAAATTGTACCTACTATCCATTTCACTGTACTGATTTGATTTTGATGCATGGACTAAAAAATAACCCAAAACATGTGTACTAACAGACCACACAAATACTTGGCAAATATACTTTACACAGACACCTAAAGCAGAAAGAACCTGCATATACATTCCTCACAGCAATGCTTTCCTGGTAGCGAAAGACTACAGAGATAATAGCACACATTACAACCACACCTGCAACAGTGTGGATATACAGGAGAAGAGGAGAAGACACTAGTTCTCAACATCTCTAAAAACATTAAACTTGCATTCCATTTCAAAAAAATTTAGCAGCTTAACAGAAAGAACCCTAGCAGAATAGTTAGCTCTGCGTAGAAATTGCCTTAAGCTAGTATGAGAGAGAAAATATTCCTGAATCAGTCTTCTTGAACACTATCATACCCCAAGGCCAGAAAAAAAAGGTCAGGGATAATTGGTGCAATGGTAGCACTGGACACACATTTTCAGCTGGTGCCCTGTGATGAGTGCCACCTAATACCACTCTTCATTATAGTCTCATTGCAATACTGGCAAACTTGCAAAAAGCAAGTATATTTTTGGAAGATGAAGCAACATTTCTAGAAACTGATCTCTAATTATTATTTTATAGCCTCTATAAGCAAAGCAATCTACTGAAAGCACAAACTCTATACTTAAAATCCAGTAGCCAGAAACAATAAAGATACAGTAATAAGTTTAGGAGAGAGAAATCACACAAACTTTTTTCACATTGTAAAATCTACATAACAAAGAATACATAAGAGCACAACGAAATGAAAAACTGGGGGAGGAGGAAAGGAATTTTTTATTATTACTTCCATGACCTGATAACAAGAAGATTTTTACTGAAAAAGTCTATAGTTATAATGTAGCCCCTTAAAGTTCAGCTTTTCATTTACAGGCTTAGCAAACATAAACAATGCAGTTAAACATATTTAAAATGTTTTCCTTTTCCAAAGCTGTCTGTACATTCCACCTAAATTTTTTTTCCCACCAGGAAAAATGCAAGATATTGAATAGTTCCCCCTGCGCAGGGCGGCCATTCTAGATGAGCAGAGCACCATTCCCTTCCCCTCTCCATCTCTTACCCAGACAGTCTGTCTCTTACCCTTTAAACATTTTAAGGGCATGACCACACGAGCACAAATATATGCTACAAGGTACACCAACAACCTCTGTAAAAAAGGATAATCTTTGGTAGCATCACACTCTTCTGGGGTTCTTGGAGGCACACAGTAACTGGAGCACTGTTATCCAAAGGAAACGAACCTTCCTAGGTCCAACCTACTCGCCTAAAGCTAGCAGTGAACGCTTGCCATTGCAGAGGTTTTTCTTTTGGAAAGTTACGAGTTTTTCTCTTTTCAGCCAACCTGATGAAGAACTGCACTAGTAGTGATGCTACAGCTTGATCTGAGCAAAATTTACTTTGTGAAACCACCAGAAGAAAATACAACAAAAGCCAAATGTTCATGGTCTCTTGGTTGTAACCATTGAGAGGATTGTAACCTTCTCTAGTTCCCATTTTCACCCTGAGTAGGTGCATACAAAATAAGCAAATTTGCAACAAGACAGATCTAGAGCACATACATGAAAATGTACACAGGTGACCTTACTGCATTGCTGAGTGCTTTTTGGGGCATTTTCTTAGAAGTTTGTGGGGTTTTCAGTTTGCTTTGGTTCTAGGTTTTCTGTAGTGGCTACCTGTTACTAAGCAATTAATAAAACTGCAGAAAGTAAGCAAACCAGTAGTTTTTAATCCTCACTAAACTACCAGCCACAAATGACACACGAAAATGAAATCTGTGTCCAAACAGGCAGAAAACTATTATTTTCCTTCTCAGACCATGACAACTACCAAGACATGTTCAAGCTCTAAACTTTGCTATAGAAGTCTAACTTTCAAAATAGCAGAGCCTTCTTTTTTTCTACTCCGTGTTAAGAACACATGCTGATTACAGAGACAGTGCAGCAAGCTATCAATAATGGGCAGAAAACTCCTACATTGTGCAGTGTACAGACAGTACTATGGCATTTGCTACATGCTTGACAATCACAACCACATGACCCAGCAAGCCCAGAAATCTCCCGAACTTTTTATGTCCAAGAGGCATGGAGTTGACTGTTTAGTAAAATCTCAGTGGATGATACTCTCCAGAATACCAGAGTCTATTGATGGTACCAATGAGAAAACTGGCAATGTCCATTCAATTTTCTAAGGATATGGAACTTTGTAAACATGGTCCCTGTTTTTTCAATGTTACAGTTCACTGCTTAAAGATGTCACAGCCTTATTTTTAAAAGTTACTGACTAGATGTCATGTATGTTCCTAAATCACATGAGAAAATTGATATAAATCAGATACTTGACTGGCACTAACATTTATTGCCCCTTGTCTAAAATTTTAGCTACTCCCTGAAAACCTCACATAAGGGTCTTAACCACTAATGGGAAGACTTACAGTTGGCCAGAGCTTCGAAACAGATAACCTAGATCTCTTCTCACAGAAAGTTCCCCAAAGTCAATCAACTCCTTAGATCTAAAAGCCAGACCCCACTAGAATATAAACTGACACAACGAAATTTCAAACACACAGAAGTCAAAGTGACTATATGAAACAGAAGAGAAATAAAATGGATTTTTATATTAGCTCTGCCCCCTATTTTTGCAGAGGAGACACTGGTTTTGGACCTGGGTTGAGTCACCTCCATGACTTTCTCAGCTGCAGCAGATTTTATGCGATCTCCTCTGGTGTCTGGGAAGCTTTTCTTTGTTACCACTGAGTGACAAATCTCTCCTCAAGCCACAACACAGAGAGACCATCTCTCACGTTCATATTTCTCGAGATATGGAAAAAAATACATTTTGATCGAGGAGTTCTTTCAGTTCTGATCTGAGAGCAGAAACAAGCTCCGAATTAAGAATGATACTGGAACTGTAGCAGTATTCATTTCCTAGTATGAACAATTTACGTAACTTATTTTTATTTTTTCCATAAGATCAGGCATATTGCAAATTAAAAATAATTATATACTATCTTAGGTAGCTAGATGGAAAAGGGTATTACGATTTGCCTTTATTCTTCTGTTCCTCTAAAAGAAAAAAAAATAATCAACATGAATCTAATCCTAGCTCACCAAGGATTCGGTAGATATACATGACTTCTTTATAAAATAAGACGACTGCATGATGCCAATCCTTTAGCAACACATATCCAGCATATGCTTTTGATTTCAAGCCAAATAACTACAACTTTTCAACTCTAAATTTTTAAGACTGTATTTGGTACTGTAAGAGATGTTTTAAATGAAAAACCCAAATTACAGAACACTATCATGATCTTTGATGAAAAGTGAATGCACTTCACAAACTGTATGCAACTGGCATATCATAAGCAGAGGAGAAGCGAAGAGAGGCAACACTGCAGTTACTCAGCCTTCTCAAATTTTCTCAAAACCATATTTGCAGGAAGCAATAATTGTTTAGACTAAACCAGTAAACCAGACCAAATTCAGTGCAATACCATGGTCTCCCTCAAGAAAATGAAGCTAGTTAATTGTAATTAAATTTTTACGACTTCACACACTATAGCTTTCAATCAAAGCAAAACACATCTAAGACCAGTGCCTGTAAAAGACTATCAGCTATATGCCCAAATTCTTATTGGTGTAAGAAGTTAATATTTTTCACAGTACCACCTATAATAAATTAATTATATTTCTGGTTTTAAAGATGAAGACAAACATACTTTATGCAGCAATGTTTTAAATGCCATTTCAACCACAAAAGAAACCTTTGTCATATCTCAGAGCCCATAGTTATCTGAAGATAGAGCTATGAAGTTAAAATTCTGTGATCATGAAGAACATGCCTAGTTTTCACAGTAGCTCAATAGTTTTCAGTAAGAACTATTTGTAAATCTTCGCAAAACAACTTTTGCCCTTTTAGTTTATAACTAAGAGTTTTTGGAAAGATCTTACCTTGTCCTCTTGGTGTTCGTTTCCTGCGATCTCTGAATGCTGCTCCCGACTGCAAGGCTTCAAGCAGACTATCCATCACGCCCGTCTCATCACCCTCTGAGAACAGGAGAAAAATAATACTAATATCAGTGCAGTTGAAACCAGACTTTCAAAAGAAAAAAGTAAAAGTGTTGTCAAGTTTACATAACGCTTCCAAATTAGAGACGTATACATCTCAATGTAATGGATGCTGTCAGTGCTTCAGGTATCACTGTCTAGTTTGCCTATGATGTTCTATTAGAACAAAACTGATGCCAATCCTACTGTTCTTTCAATTTAGAGATGTTCTCTTGTGCATTATTGATGACATCTTCAGCACGCAGATAGACAGCTGCTGGTGAAAGACTACTGCTTCACTGTTCAATCCTTTTAAGGCTTTCCCAAGTAGAAACACGTCATCTCTTTTTGATTTAGTAAACACATACGGAAAATCTGATGAAACATAACGGCACAAAGCTAAATATTGTAGTTCTGCAAATATTTTGGATGGTGCTTCCTGTCTTCATGATGCATTAAATCCCTGAGGAAAAAAATATTTAGCCATACGTCATGCAAGGATACATACGCCATTTGCTACACATGTAACGGTATGCTGTGGATCACCTTAAGGTAAGGTAAGGAAAGAACAAAGAGGGGAGAATCACACAGTGAAAGTAGGTGGCATAACAATTTTTAAAAGCTGAATTCTACTTCTGCTAAATCTTCATCTTACTTTTTTCATGTCCAAGCTAACCTGCAGCCTTTAAATTGCTGGATTTCATAGTGCACTATGGAAATCTGGATAGAAAGATTACTTCCTTTTTATGTATTTAAGTCTTTAACTGTATTTCAGTCTGCTAATAACAGTTGCTAGCAGCATCCAACAGCATGGGAAACAGGTCAAAGAACTGCAATGTTACAAAACTATTGATGAATGCCTCTTTTTCTGTTCACCTGTCTGTGTTCTAACTCAAAACTAAAATATAGACTAGACTCAGCAGGTAGGTGGACATTTTATTCACATCTCTCAGACTTCAAGTTAATATAAAAATCCCCATCACAGAGTGGGAAGATAATTACTTTATGCAAAAGATTTATATTACAGTAAAACACTTATGACTCACACAAAGTGTAGGAGGTTAAATGCACATTCAAGCTCTCAAATGTTCAAGTTTAAAAGCAGCTTATTAATGCAAAAGGTATTCTGCCCTGGTTCTCTATTACATTTAGATTTATTAGACTAAATCCAGACCTGATATAAGAGCACAACAATCCTCTAACAGTACCTGGTTCAAATTTCTACATGATGATCATAACTGTAACTACTTGGTAAATTTAAATTATACATCAACGTAATTTAAACCATTATGTATAATACACAACACATACATAAAGTTCTCTCCAGTGGAAGATGAAAGGGAGCAGAGTAAGAGTAGCAACCAGCAGAAGACTGAAATACCAATTTTAATTACATTCCAACTAAAACCCTGAAAAGTACATAAGTAAATCAGCTTCTCTTGATTCACACTCAAATATACAAGGCCAGAATCTTGTCTACAGCACACAATATAATTATTTTTCTTTCTGCTTCTAATCCTACACTTGCTTATTCATTGATTTATTGTTGGCTCTGTATTAAATTCATTTTCTAAATCAAAGGTCTGTGAATACAGTCTGTCCAATCTAATACACACCAAGTTGGTCTGAAACATTTAATGATTGTGACTGTAACACACAAAATTAGTTAATATGTTAGAATAGTTTATGCCTAGAAAAACTACAATTATATTTGATCTTCATTAAAAATAAGAGTTGGCAGAGTTTATTCATAAAGACACAAATGCTTCAATACTTCATAAATGTTTATGCAGCCTTCCACTTCTCTTTTGCTGAGTGTGCTACTCTACCTGCTAATTACTGCAACTGCTAAAAAACACCCTATTTTTGGAATATCAAATTATACAATATACAATATATAGACACATGAATTGAGGAAGCTGTAGAACACGGTGATGAGATTTTTAACTCCTGAAAGTAAAGTTTATGCTAGGTCTGATCTCAGCACTGCATCTTAAAGTCGTCAGGCAATTAAGTGGGAACTGGACAAAGAACTGCATTTTCAGCTAGCCTTCCATTAAAACTTTTTTTTTTTTTACATGACCTACAGCAACTTGTAAACACAAAACAGAAACAAAGACTAGAACTACCCGAAGTCTCTAAAGTGAGAAACTTATTTCCAGCAGAAATGGTCAGTGGAAATAAAACACAGAATCATGGAATATTAGGGGTTGGGAGGGACCTCTGTGGATCACCTTGTCTGACCCCCCTGCCGAAGCAGGGTCACCTAGAGCAGGCTGCACAGGACCACATCTAGGCGGATTCTGAGTATCTCCAGAGCAGGAGACTCCACAACCCCTCTGGGCAGCCTGGTCCAGTGCTCCGTCACCCTCAGAGGGAAGAAGTTCTTCCTCACGGTCAGCTGGAACTTCCTACGCTTCAGTTTGTTCCTGTTGCTCCTCGTCCTGTTGCTGGGCACCGCTGACAAGAGTTTGGCCCCATCCTCTTGACACCCACCCCTAGTTCCTCGTCTTTCTTGAACTGTGGAACCCAGAACCAGAGACAGTACTCCAGATGTGGCCTCACTAGGGCAGAGTAGAGGGGGAGCAGAACGGCTCTCCAACTGCTGGTCACACTCTTCTTAATGCACCCCAGGATACCACTGGCTTTAAATCCAGGAAATACTCTGGATTTTACACTCTGCTTTTACAAAGAACAATAGACTTTGGACGAACTGGTCATAATAAGCATTTAGCAATCTGTGGTCAGATTTCCATGTCAAATGACACTCTAAACATTAGCACTCGGGAACTACACTGCCAGTTTCAAAAAAAGGAGACCATAAGAGATTAAATCAGAAACTGATGTTATGGACATACAAACGGGGAGGGGGTGAGAGGTGAAAGACAGTATTACAAACAGAACAATGACTATCGCTAGGGATGTATAATAATCTCAACACAGCCAAACTGCGTGAACTTTTCACTTCAATGTTAATGCACATAAATAGTACTACCCCTTGCAAGAAAGATGAGATAGACAAATGACCACAGATGAGTAATACCAAATCAGCTAATATAAAGTTATTTCAGCTGATGTGGAAGCAAATCGCAAATATCTATGAAGTTAACATGCCATCTGAAATTACCAAATACCTACTATTATTATCATTTGAGAACAGCAAAGGTGAAACTTGTTTATAAGAAAAACTAAAACATTAGTTGGAGAAAAAAAAAGTATGACAGTCTTCAACTGGTAGTATGAAAAGCCTTTGAAACAAATTTTGAAGACAACAGAACACAAGATTATGTGTTATAGTTCTGCCAAAGACATTAGACTAAGTCTATGGCTTATGGTTTCTGTTAATGCAATATACTGCACTTCATCTGGCTAGAATAGTTCTCTCATTTATCTGGTCTTCAGCATTTGATATAATGGCCGCTTAATTCAGTAGTGGAAGGTGCAAAAGGTGGTCATTAGTAAAATATCTGGCTAAGTAACAACAAAAGGTTATTTATAGATAGGAAGATTTAACATTTGAGAGGTTATCACCTGACTTTTTCTGAAAACCTAATTAGTGGATTTGCCATAACAGCAGATGACTTACAAATAGGAAATACTAATATTTTGGAAGATAAGATCAGAACATGTGTAAGATTTGGAGTAATAAATTAAAATAATAGAAATACAAGGAGCACGTATAACTTCAGGTGCAAGACAAAAGCTCTTCGTTAGGGAATGACCAAGAGCTCCAATATAAAGAGGTGACCAAAGAAACAATGATGAATTACCAATCTGATCAGTGCATTAAAAAGTCAGCACACTATTTCCAGTAGTAGTGGTACACAAGCTTGATTAAGGCATTCACAGAAGGCAAATCACAACTGGAAAAGCCTTTACAACAACCAGGGGAGTGGATTCTAACAAGAAATGCCTAAGTCAGGACAATTTCTTTAGACTACTTAAAGCAGCCACAGAAAAGAGATATGACAACATCCCTCTGTGCTTAGAATCTGTAAAGTCCCAAGAGAGGAAACCCATCCCAGCAGATAAGTTCCCAAAGAGAAAGCTGTTTTGATACAGCAGCAAACAGGAAAGCATTTAGGCTGAGTTAGTGGAAGTATCTTTGCAATCACAGATGATGCTCTACAAGGCATTCCCAAACCAGACTGAGGGAATAAAGTCTGGAGATTTTCAGGATGACACAAAAAATTCTGAAAGGAATTACATGATATAGCACAGGCAACAGCAGGAGCATAAGTCACATGATCTTTTCAATTCACTCTGCCTTAAGCATCAATCTGCAACTCCTTATCGACAGCATATTTTTAAAAAGGTACTTGACAAAACGGGGAATGAGAGTGCAAGAAACCAATTACTGGTGCTCAGACTGCTGCATAAGTTACAGCACGAAGAACACAATTCCTGGGTATCTGTAGTTGTGAATTAAGCCTTTACTTTTGAGCAAGCGTTTTTATCTTCAAATATCTTCTAGTGCAGATACGACCCTGATATTTATGAGTAAAACGGTCCTTCCAAATAATAATAGTTTGTTTAGAATATTTAGCAGGACAGAAATATATCAGAAAGTGTACGATCAGGTATGACTAGTCTGTCTTGATTTTTCTTCATATAACACACTGAATTAAAAACTTAATATTAGAATTAAACTGCTGACTGATTTTAAAGTACTTCCCAAAGAAGTAAATATCAGATAGCCACAAAGCATATCCTGCATTGCCAGAACATTATTTTTAAACTTCAGCTTTCCAAAGATAGATAACCTGTCCCAAACTCAAGCTGTTCTTTATAATTTGTCTATCAACCAAAGGCACGTGGAGATGGAAGGACAATATTGACTTTACAGCTGCAAATATTTAGAAACAGGGCATCAAATGAAACATTTTCTGAAAAAGGCCAAATTATTGTACATGTGCCTTTGCATGTGCAATACTATTGCAGGAAGGACTGCAATAACATCACACAATTGTCAAGTTTCCCTTGGTAAACCAAACTTGAGT